CCAGCTCGCCAGCCAGCTAGCTGGGCAGCTAGCCAGCTAGCCAGCTAGCCAGCTAGCCAGCTGGAGGCGCACTTGCTGTTGTAGGTGCCGGGGGGACAGGGCGTGGCGAGGGCGAGGCCCGGGGCGGCGCAGAAGTGGCCCTCGGGGCACTTGTCGGGCTGCTGCTGCGCTGCAGCAGCACAAAAGTGCCCCAGGAGACAGTCTCCGCATGCAGCGCGCGCGGAGGCCCTGCGGGCCGCGCTGAAGGTCCCGGGGGGACAGGGCAGCGAGCGGTGGTCGTAAGTCCCCGCGGGACAGTAGTAGCCCGCCGCGCAGTACTCCACTTGGTTCCCGTCCGTGCAGCCCGTCCCTGCAGCAGCAGCAGCAGCAGCAGCAGCAGCAGCAGCAGCAGCGGCAGCAGCAGCGGCAGCGGCAGCGGCAGCGGCGGCAGCGGCGGGGTGGGAGGGGGGAGGGGGGGAGCGCGGGTAGGGAGGCGGAGAGCGCGCGGGGAGAGGGCCAGGCAGCAGCACAGGCAGCAGCAGAGGCAGCAGCAGCAGCAGCAGCAGCAGCAGCAGCAGCAGCAGCAGCAGGTGGGCAGGCGCACCTGCCCCACAAGATGTGCACTGCTCCAAAGTGTTGGCGAAAGTCGTCGTGTAAGTCCCAGGGGGGCACGGGAAACTCTCCAGCTGCCTGCAGCAGCAGCAGCAGCAGCAGCAGCAGCAGCAGCAGCAGCAGGAGTCTGTTGGATCTGCTTTTTCTGGAGGTGTCTCCTTGAGTCTGTCTGTGCCGACTAAACAAGCGCCAAGCAAGCCAAATTAATCCACTAGATCAAATTAATTAAGTCAAATAATTAAATAATTGAATACTTAAATTGAATAATTAAATAATTAAATTAATCAATTAATTTGTTTACGCAGTCCCCGGGGGAAGAATGGTGCCTTTGATGACGGGCTCTTTCGGGTTGTCGAAGTTGTACGCGTAGCAGTACCTTCCCGCGGGGCAAAGTTTGCAATTTTCCTGAAAAAAGTTCAAATTTTGGGTTTTTTTTGGCATTTTAGAGTCCCTTTTGGGTCCTTTGAACACCATTTTGCCCCTTTTTAAAGACTTTATGCCCCCTTTTGTTCCACTTTTTGTCTCCTTTTTATTCCACTTTTTGTCTCCTTTTTATTCCACTTTTTGCGTCCCTTTTCTTAACTTCTTTTCTTCTTCCTTGTTCATTTTCCGCCATTTTCGGGAACAAAGGGAGACACTTTGGAGACACTTCTGAGACATTTTGGAGACACTTTTGGGACATTTTGGAGGCACTTTTGAGAGCTTTTGGAGACAATTTTGAGGGACACTTTAAGCAGTTTAGGAGACACTTTATGAACTCAGAAGAGACACTTTTTAAGCAGCTTTGGGAGGCAGTGTAGGGATTCAAAAGAAATGTTCCATTGACTTCAAAGAGACACTTTATTGCCTCAAAAGAGACGCTTTATCGATTCTGAAGAGACACTTTTTATTGCCTCAAAAGAGACACTTAATTGCCTCAAAGGAGACACTTTATTAACCCTTAAGAGACACTTCATTGCCTCAAAGGAGACACTTAATTGCCTCGAAAGAGACACCTTTTATTACCTCAAAGGAGACACTTTATGAATTCTGAAGAGACACTATGTAAACATTCTTAGGGGCCTCACCATGGACCTTATGCTGGTGCTGGAGTCTAAGTACCTCCCGGGGGGACAGGCCCTCTCGCTCAGGGCCCCCTGAGCAGCAGCAGCAGCAGCAGCAGCAGCAGCAGCAGCAGCAGCAGCAGCGGCAGCACGCCAGTTGTCTCCTTTTCCGCGCTCACAGCGCCTACTCCGGCCAGCTGCCTAGCTAGCTAGCTAGCTAGCTGATTGGCTAGCCGGCAAGCGGGCCAGTTGGCTAGCTAGCTAGCTAGCTAGCTCCGCGCACCACCCCCACCACCACAGCAGCAGCAGCAGCAGCAGCAGCAGCAGCAGCAGCAGCAGCAGCAGCTGACGGTTTCGCAGACGCCCAAGTGGTCGTTGCAGATGCCGAGGAGACCCTCGTGGCCGATCTCCTTGTGTCCAGACACCGGAAGCTGGAGGGGCCCGTGGCAGAAGAGCACTGAGGTGTCTGTACACCCCACTGAGGAGTAGTAGGCGCAAGTGCGGAGTTCGGAGCCCGAGGAGACAGTGTAGAAGTTCCCAAACCCTTTTTCCGTTTTCCGCAGCGACAACGCAGTCCCCGCGCGAAACTGCGCGCAAACCCTAAACCCTAAACCCTAAACCCTAAACCCTAAACCCTAAACCCTAAACCCTAAGCCGTACGCGCGAGCGCCGCAGCGACCGCCCCAGCTTGCGCCGCACGCTCTGCTTCAAAATCTAACCCTCAACCCGCAACCCTCAACCCGCAACCCTCAACCCTAAACCCTAAACCCTAAACCCTAAACCCTAAACCCTAAACCCTAAACCCTAAACCCTCACAGGGGAGGAGGGTTTTGCTGGGGGTTTGGGGGTTTGCGTTTGTGGGGTTGGAATGGGTTCGCATTTTTGGGCGAAGTTGCTGCAGCTGGTGTCCAGCGCAGCTTTTTCGCTAACTTGCTGTCCCCTGAAAACAAAAACAAACTGCTTTTGTCTCCTCCGGAACAGCTAGCTGCTGGCTAGCTAGCTTGCTCTTGGCTAGCTGGTGGCTAGCTGGTGGCTAGCTGGTGGCTAGCTGGTGGCTAGCTGGTGGCTAGCTAACGAGCTGCATATCTGTTGGCTAGCTAGCAAGCTAGCTGTCTAGCTGTCAGCTAGCTAGCTGGCGAGCTCGCTGTTGGCTAGCTAGCTAGCCAGCTATCTGCCTGACTATCTGCCAGCTAGCTAGCTAGCTAGCTAGCTAGCTAGCTAGCTAGCCAGCTAGCCAGCTAGCCAGCGATCTCTCCGTCTGCCAGCCAGCTAGCTAGCCAGCCAGCTAGCTAGCCAGCCAGCTAGCTAGCCAGCTAGCTAGCTAGCCAGCTAGCCAGCTAGCCAGCTAGGCAGCTAGCCAGCTAGCTAGCCAGCTAGCCAGGGAGGGACTGGCTGACTCGGGGCAGGGGAAGAATTTGCCGGCCCAGCAGAGGCCCCCGGGGGGACAGGCGGGGTCTGTGAAGTGGGAGTGGCAAGGAAGTGTGGGGCGGGGCCCCAGGGGACTTGTGGGGCCCCCCAAGTGTCTCCGACTTGTGGGGCCTCCCAAGTGTCTCCTCGCAGCCCCCGGGGCGCAGGCGCTGTGGGGCGGGCACGGCCCGCAGCGCCGCACGCGCACGAGCCCGGGAGCGGGAGCGGGATCGGGATCGGGATCGACTCTGGGATCGAGTTCGGGATCGAGTTTGGGCTCGGAGGTGGGGTCGAGTTTGGGATCGGGATCGAGGGGGGGGTCGGGATCGGGATCGGGATCGAGTGGGAGGAGCGTCTCCTGGACGACGTGTCCGGGGGGACAGGCCGTGGGGGGCTGCGCGGTGTCGGTACACTCGAAGCCGGGGGGGCAGGGCCGACAGCGCAAATCTCCGGGAAGAGAAAAGGAGAAAAACTTTTCGCAAGGTGTCAAGACACCCGAGAGGCACGAGAAGCCCCCCGGACACAACAAGCAAGAGTCTCCTTCCACCAGGCCTGCGCCCACACCACTGCATGCAAACGCGCCCCATGCATGCATGCATGCATGCATGCGTGCATGCATGCGCGCATGCATGCATGCATGCATGCGTGCAAACTCGATTCATGCATGCGTGCATGCATGCACGTATGCATGCACGCATGCATGCACGCATGCAAACTGGCTTGCATGCATGCATGCGTGCGCGCATGCATGCATGCGTACATGCATGCATGCAAGCCAGTTTCCATGCGTGCATGCATGCATGCATGCATTGTGGCAGTTTTCTGTTCTTTTGACTTGCGTGGTTTTGTTAGATTACTTTTAGTATATTCAGCTACATTCATTGATAGTTGTTGTTTTTGATTATTTTTATTTTTCCACTCTAGTATTTTCAATTATTTGCGTTATCAATTACTTCGATTTTCTTTAATTTTTATTTTGTTGATTTATTCTTTTGATAAAAGTATTATAAATATATTTATCTGTGTTGCATTCACATATATATTACTATTAATATCTATATATATTACGTTAACGGTGACGGAAGTGTCTCCTTTTGCTAATTGTCTCCTTAAAAGTGTCTCCTTTTGATAATAAAAAGTGTCTCCTTTTAATAACAAAAGAGTGCGTCCTTAGTGTCTCCTTTTAAACAAAAAGTGCCTCCCTTTTATGATAAAATGTGTCCCCTTTTTATAATAAAACGTGTCTCCTTTTAACAATAAAAAGTGCGTCCTTTCAACAACTAAAAGTGTCTTCCTTCAACAATAAAAGTGTCTCCTTTCAACAATAAAAGTGTCTCCTTTTGACCTGAGGGACAGGCAATGGGGGCCTTATGGGGGGCTGGGCAAAAGTGTCCCCGGGGACACTTTTCGCATTTTGTGCGCAGCAGCTCTGCAGTGGATCCCAACTGTCCCCTTTTGCATGCAGCAGCAGCCCCGTCTTTGCATGCAGCCCCAAGCGGGCAGCGCATGCAAAGCCCTTCTCCAGACAAGTACAGCCCCGGCCCGCAAGTCGCAGCGCCGCCCCTGCAGCAGCAGCAGCAGCAGCAGCAGCAGCAGCGGTAGCAGCAGCGCGAAGGGATTGGTTCCGCCCGCGGGAGCAGCAGCAGCGGCTGCGGCAGCAGCTGCGGCGGATCGGCAGCAGCAGCAGCAGCAACGGCGCAGCGCCTCGAAGCACCAGCAGCAGCAGCAGCAGCAGCAGCAGCAGGAGAGGCGCACTGGCTGGGCTGGACTTTAGTCTCTTCGCGGGAAGAGACAAAAGGAGACACTTGGCAGTTTGCGCAGCCCCACACTGGAGTGCTGCCGTAAGAGTCCACCAGGTGGAGACTCAGGTCTTTGCACCTGCAGCAGCAAAGGGTTTGGGGTTTAGGGTTTAGGGTTTGGGGTTGGGGGCAGGGTTTAGGACTCGGACTCGCGGGGTTAGGGTTTGCGAGCGGCAGCTTTTTAGCACAGAAAGGAGACAGATATGAAGGAGACAAAAAAGAAAAAGAGACAAGAAATAGAGAAGTGACAAAAAGGGAAAAAGAGACAAAAGAGACAAAAGTAAAAGAAATAAAAGAGACAAGGACAAAAGCCCCAAGAGCAACAGAGACAAAAGCGAAAGACGCGAAAAAAGACAAAAGACGCATCCACGGGCCCCCCCGGGGGGCCCCCGGGGCCCC